AAAAGAGCAAGTGGATCGAGTGACTTGTAGCTTGATAATTTAATAAACTTATTTAGTCGATTTATCGATTATTTAATTACAAAATGAATACGCTGAAATAAAATGATGTATAAATTTCGTGCTTATGGATAATTATTAATTTCTACAGTGTGTGTGTGTGTGTGTGTGTGTGTGTGCAATAGTGAAAAATGATTTTCATCAGCTCTATCGATAGTTGTTGCATCTGTTTGAAATGAATTTGTGCAAAATGGTGACATGTATATGTTACCGTAATAGTACAAAATTTAATTAAATGTATACCGCTGATTAATGGTACTAAAGTAGTAAAAATATTGATAATATACAACTATTTCTCGTATTTATTTAATTAATTCTCAAGAAAGAATTAATAAAAAATGCGATGAACTACTATAATATTACGGATATAAAGATACACTGCCCAGCTCCAATATAACTTTAGTTGAAGTAGAATAAGCGTCGAACCGTATTATGTCAGACAATCACGCATGAATAGGGAAACGTTTATATTATTAAATGAAATTAATTCTATCGCAAAAATCTTCTGCAATATACAAACTTTCTTTGAAGAAAACTTAACTTTCAACTTCAAGAACTTCAACTCCGAATAATAATAATTAATTACGAATTACGAAAACTAAACATAAACTATTAAAACATAATACCATGATATTTCCTACTTTCATTTCGTATTTTCCATTACAATACACAATATATCTGAAAAGCTAATGTATTGCACAAAAAATTCCTTTTTTTTTTTTTTTAAATAAAAAGTTCGTACGAGTGGACAAATAATACTATTTACCTAAGTTGTTTCATCGAACAATGCTTACTACCCGCCACAAATGATTCTATATTCAGAATACATTCAATTATCATTCTATTTGCTTGACACACAGTTTTGCAACGCGTTCGCAAAGTAAATACAGCCGGTAGAAACAGAGCCAGCGCGAAGAAAATTCGTCGGCGGATATTCGTTCGGAAATTGTTGCGCGGCAAGTGTTGGATGAAAGCAGCGATATTACGGCAATCTAGCTGGGCTGCTACATCCAATATGATGCGAATGCGCGAGAATCTAACTTTTATATGTCTTTCACCTGTGGTGAACACTTCTGGATGTGCACCGCCCAGCCACCGTTTGGGAAAACGTGCAAAACGTTACCAACGCCCTACGTTCGTGAAAAGAGAGAAAGAGAGAGAGAGAGAGAGAGAGAGAGAGAGAGAGCCACGGTCTGACGCCGTGTTGGAAAACACATTTACTACGTGTTACGAGAGTTAACGGGTTACCGTCTGAATTCGAATGTTTTGTAATCCAGTTTGCCCCCGTGCTCGTAACGAGAAAAATGACGTAATTCCGAAATTTACGAAATATGTATACAGATTTCTAATTTGTCGTTTAATACAGACATGGTGTGCCAAGTTTTATGAAATTGGTGCATAGCCAAGGCGACTGAAGTGTTTAATAGAACTGTCTATATATGTAGCAGATTCCTCTATGCTGTTTTTTTAAAAGGGTAACATTTTTAAGAAGGAAAGAATAATTTCGGTAAATTTCCATCACTTAATTCTTGGTATATGTTTCTAAAGCTATTTTTTTTGTTAAGAATACTTGTTCACAAAATCTACATAAAATAATTGTCTACGAAATAATTCCGACGAGAGAAAAAAGAATATCGACGATGATCTTCGAGATGATGATCATATATTAAAATAATTCTTATATGTTGGTTAATGTTAGTTGATATTTCGGTTAATATTAGTTACTAAGTAACAAAAATGTTTAAATTTTAATTCAGGTTTCTTAGGAATTCACCAAGATTAAATAATAGAGCAAACTCGAAATTATTTTCTCCTCGATCAAACAGCCATTTTGAAACACTACGCACCACAGAAAGAGAAAAATAAAGGAACGGAAGAAAATGCGTTTTTTCTTTGGCCTTACGACAATATCGTAAGATTTGAAACTTAAATAAGGATCAACGGTTCGATTTATCGAGAGGATTAGTACAATGTATTTCTGATTCGTGATATCGATACATTTGTAAAAGGATCTAGACCAATCCTGTCTGCTATTAATTCTGGGACCTAAATTGCTTTACATTGTTTCCGTTACCTATGGCATAGTAGTTACAATCGAAGTGTGATTGCATTACGAGGAATGTATAGTCATTGTAACTGTTCGCGTGGAAATGTATTGAGTCCTCTCTGTTCTGATCCTTATGTACTCTGGTACACACACAGGGAGAAAATGGAAAGGCCTGGGGTTTATCTTTCAGTGAGATAAATCTGTAAGATGAAATCGAAAGTTCGTGTTGGAACTTCGTGGTGACGAATTTTTTTTTATATTAATTCGACATAATCGGAGAACAGACTAATACGTGTTTGTTATTTTATTTAAATTATTTTCATTACTATATATTATAGAGATATAGATAGAGATTTAATTAAATCTTATCATACGAAAACCCAACAAGAATGCCGAGATGGTCAATTCGTTTTATAAAAATATATATTCATAGTAGTCTACTTAATTTGAACGAAAATATATAAATAGAAACTTTTTCTTAATCATTCTATTTCGATTCCTCTGATATAAATTTTACGTTTCATCAGTAATTTTGATCAGAATACTCTACTTTTAAGTTTTAATTTATAATGTGTTGGTTAAAAAACATTTGTCTAAATATTTCAACATGTGCCTGTCTGAAACGTCACTTACAATTTCCACAGAATTAATTACTATTGCATTTCCTTTCCTTTCTTTTAAAAAAAATTACTAAAATATCTACGAGATCCATCAAGACAATTTCAGAATCAGAAATAGAATTACTAAGAATAGAAATAGACGTTTATCTAAGAACTTACTTTTTAGTAATAGTCAGTCGATAACTCATAAATCGACAATATGTCATAAATCAAAAGAGCAGGGGAGACTCGAAAGAGATTTCACAAATATAGACAGTTTTGAAGAACATTATATTCAGTCTTCCAATTCACTCGATCGAACAAATTCTCAACTCTAAAGATATAAAATCATATAAAGTATCTCCGTAAAATATCTTCCTACATATGAATAAAAGGGGGACATTCAATCTAAAAGGACTCTTTTATTATCGGAGAACAAAACGTGACAACTTTCACATTTCGTGCAATCGACTGGATAGAAAAATCCCTAAGTATACCAGAAGAGCAGTGTAAGCTTGGTATGGTCCGAATTTGAG